CCATAGTCGCCATGGGAAAAGGCGCAGAAGAAGGCATCTGTGCCTTTACATGCTCGACTAGAGCGTTGTTATACTTCAAGCATATGAATACGCTTGTTAATCTCTTCGTCGCCTTTTGGGCAATGAGGTATTCGACGCCTTTAGAGCCAAGGATAGGGAACAGCTTTTGCAACCTTCCTGTTTTGCCTGTGAAAGGCCACCCCTGACATCTCTTCAGTGTCCATTCTCACACAGAAAAGACAGGTGCGGGATTGACTACAAGTGCTACCAGGTATAGCAGAGCTACTGTAGCAAAGCTACTTATGCAACACGTGCAGAGGAAGACTAGCTCAAAGAGCTTATACGTCTTAGGGTTCTTACCCCTCCCAAGGTTAGCTTTACAAGATTTTGCCTTTTGACTGCAACAATCACGTCTCCAAGAGACTAGTATCAAGGTACAACTTACTTTCTATCAAGGAAGAGAACGCTCAAGCACTAGCTTTTCAGAGCAGGTTTGAAGCTGATTTATTCATGTTTATCTTCTAGCACTAAATATAGAAGCACCTACTCTATACTTAATGCTAGTCACTATCTTATCTGTACCTGTAGCCGATAAATATGTAAACATGTATATTTACTATACTTAAACTAAGTATAGTGACTATAGTGACCATGTGGCTCTCTCCCACCTTTCGTACCTTAGGTACGGTCACATTAACCTACCACTGTACCCAAGGTACAGCCGTCCCACAATGGTGTGGCAGGTGTGTATGTACATTACTTACCTTTGTGTAACCCCGTTACACCGTTTCAGCCAATTAAGTGTGGGTGCATCTTACCTATAACAGGTCTTGACGTTATACTTGTACTTGACTTGACCTATAGGCTCTAACAACGTCATCATTGAGGCCTTGAAGGAACATCTTCAAGTGCCGTCAGTGTGTATGCGCCTAGTCTGCATCACACACACTAGCAGTTGGTCTAGTTGAAAGCTGTCTGTTCGACAACACAACTACAGCCACATTCAAGCGACAATTGTTGCAGAGACGGATAAGAATTGGTCAATATTCGTGTCCACTACACCAGCAAAAAATCAGGTACAGATTTACAGCCAGTCAAAGACTCGCGAAGAAGGCGGAGGGTGCACTTAATGGTAAAAAGCAGCTTGAGAGAAAGAGAGAGACCTATTGGGTCAATAAGCTGACTATCATGTGTATCTGTGCTAATCATAGGCGGAGTTTCGACAGGCCAAGCACACAATTATCTTGGTGCAGTACACACGCGATCCAAACTCGCGCACGTATCTAGACTTTGAGTCGGTGAACGGCGGCATGGACGGTGTAGTGAAGATGTACGAGGCAAAGCTCAAGCAGCTAAACCCGAATTTGAAGAACATTACGTACGACATTCAGGACTTGTATACGTACATTGATTCGCTCACGGATCTTAGCGCTCTCGTCTTGGACCTGGAGACCAAGACGTATCTGCCCTGTGGTAAAGAATGGATCAAGAAGAAGGTTTTTCAGGTACTCAAGAATCAGGCTGGATAAGAAGATAGAGAGGAGGAGTGAGTTAAGTTGCGTTGATAAGATGACACTTTACACACTGAGAGATGAATAGATGGATGGTGCTTTGTTTTGGACAGGAAACGACAGTTGTAGAGGAATTAGTTGCAGAACCACACTGAGCTGTTATAAGCTCGAGGGCTGTTTCTCGCTGGATAAAAGTAATTTGAGATACTGAGTAATGCCACCAATATGCCGACGAGATGTTTACAAGTAGTCAACAAGTGATTATTGTCATCGTTATCTACTGTGAAATCATCATCAGGTCTTTTTGTACAAATAATGATGGTAAAACTGGTTATATGCTCAATTAAGTACACTTTATTTCAATTTCCAGCAAGTAAAGTAGCTTTAATGATAAATTCTTTTTAAAACTGCCAAATGCAATACTTTATACTCAAGCATTATAAAAAGCAAAACGATTTTATATCTTCATTTACATACGTTTTGGTTTTAAATCTGGTGAAACGTCATTTTCCAGTCTAGGACGTGAATCATGGCACAGGAAGCAGACGACAAAGCTACTACACTCGATATGGTTAAGCTTATTAGGTAATCATTATTAAAATATGAGATTGCTACTCTTTCTACAAGCTTGATACTTGTTAATAGACGTTCTCAAGTCATCATTGTTGTGAATATAATGCAATACAGTGCTGAAGGTCATGAGATTTACATCAATAGAAAGTGTGCGATGGTGTCGGGCACGATTCGTGCTATGCTAAGTGGTAGGTTCATATGAATCGACCCTTTTGGACTCGTGATTGAATGGCACTGATATTGTGTCTATTAGGTCAATTCACGGAGAGCAAAGGCGAGATCACGTTCCCAGATATCAGCGCCCCTATCCTGGAAAAAGTGTCACAGTACATGTACTATAAGACACAGTTTTCCGACAGCACATCACGGTTACCTGATTTTACTATTGAACCAGAGATTGCCATGGAGCTGCTCATGGCAGCGAATTACCTTGATTGCTAAACTTTGCAACTACCCCATCGCGGGTCTAATACAGCCAAGCCACACCTACGTTGTTGCATTTATGTCAGTATTTTTTTGTGCTGCGGCTATTCCCAGGTAAGCTCCTCGTCAAGCAAATTCTGTCGGATGCTTTCTTCAGCAGCGACGTCCGGCTTCAGTTGCAGCAGGAAATCTACTTTGACGCTTGGTTTGGCTCTCTCTTGAGTACCATTTCGTGTTTCTGTGGTAGTATAGATGATGGTTGCAATTCAGTGCTTCATCATTGCTGCATGCCATCCTGGCCTGTGTGTGGCGTGCTGGTTCGGCTATGGCACGAACTTACTGTTTGGTGTTCGTAGTCTTTTCAGTCTCTTTAGCGCTCCGTAGACTTGTCTACCTAAGCTTCAAGACGACGTCGTTACACATCGTCGTCCTTTCAATATTGTGGTGTATGCAGCACCGATTTTGTCATGCCGCGCAAACTGCCACGACAAGAAATAATTTGTGTTGTCTTAAAGCTGCGCAAGTTTAGTGATGTAGATGCGTATGAAGAAGAAAACGTGTTAAACATTGACGCGGAGACGTTAAGAAGCTGACGACATGCAAACGAGTGACTATTTGCTGATTGGCTTTTACACACTGTCAAACAACTGCTGGTGGTTTGGTTCATTGTTCGTTTGCATAAAATGATGCAGTGGATTCACGTACGTCAACATCTTCTCACCACAGATGTCAGAACGAAAGGGAATAAAGTTGTGGATCCATTGGACACTGCTCGCTATGGCTCAATGGCAATGAATGCCTAATGCTAATTATGTGCGCCATTTTGTCAGGTACTTGTCAGCTAACGTACTACATACAAAGGTCATTACCATATTGTCTACACGCTTCAGTCCTCGCTTTCATCTTGCAACTCGGCGATATTACTTCTATGTTGAAGTTTAACCATCACTCCTGAAGAATGACGATCAAACTTCAACTGAACGTATCAAAATAAAAACAAGGACAAAATGTCCATAATGACATTCTAGCTAACGATGGATGCATTAAATAGTCGTCACGACTTTATCGCTGACGGTTGCATTTTCCGATTGGACGCATACATGTATCGGTTGATGACACCAAATCTTCCGACCAAATTGCTTCATATCAGAGCTAAGAACCCGACCGCACACTGTAACACGAAAATTACCTTCCGACAAAAACATACACTGGATCTCGTGGAATTTTGTACTCCTATCCATCCTCTCGTCCCACTGGACATCGACTCGCAGTTGTCCCACAACCACCACGTGTTCACTCATCTCGCAAACACCTTTCTCTCCTTCTTCAGTAATTATGACTTCCATCTCTACGCCGAGCGCTACTTGATCTTCAATGGCTCTGGGCTGAGCTGCAATAGTAATCGGAACGTATTTAAACAATCCAATTTGTAATCGCTGCAACTTAACACGTACATGTGACAACTGGAAGAAACTCGATGTGTGAAGAGAAATGCTCCTTCCCCGTTTGCTATTCAATACATCCATATCACCATTTTGCTTTTCGCCTGCTCTGACAAGCGCAGCATCTTGGTGTGGCGACTGAATCTGGAAGCAAACTGGTGGTAAGAAAAGCTCAACTTTCGCTTGTCTTTGGTCAACACTTGATCCCACATGGTGATCCTCACAGAGAAGCCTTCCTCGGTTACCAAAGTGCGTTTCCCACTCCATTTTCACCAGATCATTCAGCACATCAGCCAAGCTGGGAGGCCCTTGGCATAAGGTTGAAGACTGTAAGCGCGGAACTTCTACTATAAACCGACGAGAGCATTGACGACCAATTTCTTCCTCACCAAAACTAGCAGTATCATGACGCAAGCGAAATCGAAATGATGTTTCCGTAGGATTCACGATGTGTACCATGATGATACAATACAAATGGTCCGTTGTCACTACTTCAGCTAAATGACTAACATCACAAGCCGCACCCGGATTGCCTCCATTTGGTCGGTACCCCATTGGAATCTGTTCTGCACAGCAGGAGAGCAACGTTACTGACTGAAGCATCAGCGACGGAAGCAATACGAGCTCCAAAGCTAGTTTGCTTTCTCGATAAAAGATAGCCTTACCGGAATCGCCAATATCATTTGAACTGACAGGCGCCTCGTCAGCATAGACAACGCACCATTCAAGCTGGATATTGTCTCCCGCTGGCTCACAATTTCCTCGAAGTGATATTTCAAACGGAATACTGACGATATCACCGCTTGCAAGCGGTAGTAAAGACGACACCACCTTGCGATACTTGAACGATAAAAACTCTGTGTCGACCATTCCCTTTTCAGGCTCAATAGCTTTCATTTTATTGGTGGTGCTATGTGATACCTCCACACTATTATCCTCAGTTGTAGCTGAAGCTAGTGGCAAGTTGTTGAAAATTACACACGTTTTCGTTGCTGCACGTCGATGCTGAATGCTTACTGCAAGCCTGTAGTTTGTGATATAGCTGTTGCCAGTATTACGCACACAGATCGTGCATCGTCTTGTCTCGGACATGAACAATGCAAGTCGGGTTGTGGCAACAATCGGTTCTCGTGACATCGCAACATTTTCGCCACTAGAAAGCATCATCGAGTTGTGCTCATGAAGTGAAAGCGATACCTTCGGTACCTCGCGCACGACAAAGAAGCTGATAGGGTTTTCCAGTTCGAAGGATGTCTCGATGTTGAAAGCCTTGATGAAACACCCGCGAACATGAAAGGTTCCTGCTCTCAGCGGTTGAATGCTCAGCACCACAGACTTGTGCTTTTGGTATGGTTCCAGCACGAAAAAACAAGGGTAGCACTCAACGTCACCATCTTTTGTCGCTGAATTCGTGCTACCGTTTCCTTTACTCCCTCCATCATCTTCCTTGAATAAAGTGACCCACACCCTGACCTCCTGGAGCTTGACGACAACACCCGTTGGGTTAGACAAGGTCAATTGAAGCTCAATACGCTCGCAAGCCGGAAAACCTCTTTCATACATAGCAGGCATATCATCACTGTCCTCTACTCTATCGCTCCTACCGCGGTGATCTGATACACGCATCTTCTGCTTATCAAAAGGAGAATAGAAAAATTCGGATTTCACTGCTTGATGGCTAATTGCAGACTGCGCTCTAAACATCTGTAGAGCTGTCACACGGGAAAGAAAAGGATCCTTCAAATTACAACTTGAGCGCAGCTTCAGTATGTCCATTTTTAAAAATGTGGGCAGCCGCATTTGCTCCTTAGACCGCAGCCCAGCGCAATCAGACTCCAGCATACTAAGAAGTTGTCGTTCAATCTTTGCAATCTCTGTCTTCGAACGCAAATCCCACACAGTGTTGGGTGCTGTCGCTGCATCAAAATGCAGTGTTTCATCTAGATTGTTATCAACAGCATCCACTAACTGAGAGCTTTCGTACCCACCGTCTCCATTCATACTGGACTTACCAAATTCCTTTTCATCGACAATGTTTGTAGCCGTACAATCGTCAACACCACCTGGACGGCCTGACATAGACCCATTGTGCTGATGGTATGCATTCGAAAACTGAGCAAACGCTGGTGAGGCCTTTGTAGATATTGCAGTCACAGCGGCGGAAAGTTGCTGCCGTGGTGTTGCCAAAATTCGCGGTGTGTTGGTGAGCGTCGACGATAAAGACGCCGCTGCATTGGACATGGTGGCGGAAGGGGAATTGAGAAAGTTGCGTTTGACCTTAGTATCAATGCCTGGAGGTGGAAATAAATAAACACCACTCTTTGCGTGAAGACCTGCTGCAATTCGGTCCACAGGTAAGTGGGTAACACGAAGAAAAGTAGCAGGTCGCTGCAGATGATCCACTTGCAACGTCGCCTGTGAAGTAGACGCTTCTTCCAAAGAGGGTGGTGAGCATGTGTGCGGTGAGTTAATGTTAGGCAGTGCAGCAATAGAATCACACCATACCAGCATTTCTAGCAGCTGCAGACAGTATGTTCCGACGAGGAACGCGTCTCCCAGCATTCTCGCTATGACCAGGAGTTGCCGAAGCAGATGAAAGCGAATGATCAGCCATGCATCATCTTGTGTGACCATAGATGTATCTGGTCCTGATGACTTCTTCCCCCGTTTTCTTCGGTGTTGTATTGTGACCTTCCATGATCGTACGTCACCCTTTCGGGTACTCTGACCTTGAATACCCAACAGCTCCGCCGCAACTCGTTCCAATATCAAAGCAGCCTCCAAGTCTCTCTGCCGCTGAGGCTCTTTTGTGGCACTGGTAGGTGATAGTAGTACCTTTGCTTGCGTGTCTACAGAAGGTGCGTTGCGGTTCAGTAACAGAGATGCAGCTTCGTGAAGAAAGAGTGCAGCACGCCGGCGATGGCTTACTGTCTCGAGGATGTAACTTGTTTGAATCAAGAACTCAATCTGGCGCTGTGGTGGCAGTTCGGGAAACAGCACCATTCCTCTTTCCAGTACGTCCCAAAGTAAGCGCTTCATCCAAACACTTTCCAACAATTTCGCTTCTCCTGTCATTGATGTGCTTGTCAACGTAGCCATAGCTACTCTTGCATAGTATGACCCAAGATTCTGAATAAATAAACTCTCAAGCTCGACTGTGCCTGCCTTTGCGTAAAATGCAACCGCTTCCGACGCTTTTTCTACAAGCTCGGTAGAAAACTTGTCATTCAACTCGGTATATAAGCAAAATACATATCCTTCCAGTGCGGCGGCAAGCCACAAGGCGTCCCCCGGGGTGCTCCCACTACGCCGTTCTTCTTCGCGTAACATTTCAATGGCAATTGTGTACTGCTCAACCGCATCTGAGATACAACTCACAAGCACATGGTAATCCCCCCAACAATTTTTTCTTGCGAGCAAGTTGCCTTTTCCGGCGTCGATTGCGTGAGTCTAACGCAGCTACACCAGCAGTCAGCGGTGACGGAATGGAAGAGAATGGTGATCCTAGCGAGCGAAAAGCAGGGCTTGAGACAGCGTTAAACGTTGCATTTACTTTTGTATCGTTTGAAAGTACAATTGGAGAAGATTCAGACTGGTGAGTAACATGTGTTTGTTGTGGCTCAACGTTCACATCTAGCAAGATACTAGCAAGATCTCCATCTGGTGCACTGAGTGTCATTAATCCAGTCGATGGTACGGTAGACGTAGCTGATCGAATTGCACTTTCCAATGACATGAGAATATTAACAGCCAATGTATCCATTACAACCTGTAAATGTAGACTCACAGTAGATTCATCCATGTCTTGTATTTCATGATGCATTGGAAACATAATGAGATCATCAAGTCCTTTGCATTCACTGGATGTAATGTCCTCAAAAGTATGTTCAAAAGCAAATAATTTTTGCATCAAAAGTCCTGGAAAATGCTTCACCGAGGCTTTAAATTCCAAATAAGCAGTACGTAATCCACCTAGAAGTGATAATGATGGACTATGACAGACACCTAATGCACCAATCACACGATGACTAGCATGTGCATCTTCTCCATCATAAATTTCAATCTCTTGAGCTGTTGATACAAAATGAAAACGTATTGAACCAGGACCAGTCCAGTCTAAACCATGGAATGGTGAAAGTTCCATTAGGTAGCCTCCAGGACGTGTGAGACTACGAAAAGGAAGAATACTATGAGTCTGCAATAAACGTGTATATGAAGCAAAAAGATCCGGTGGAATATTGCCCACTGGGACAAGATAGACGAGAAATTCAGCTGGTCGCGTCCATTGCAGTAACACTGCGGAGCTGCTCATGGTGGTCAAAATATTTGTACTAGTGTTATAATTCTAGACGTGAATGTTAATGCAAATATTACAATACCTATTGTTATATTTATCCCTCTGTCATAATTGCATATGATCATGGAAGAAGACGAGTCGTTGTATGTGCCACTAAAGGTACGACGTCAGCGTGAACAAGAACGATTACAAAGACGACGGAAGACTCTATGTAATCATAGCATTCCATCGGATTATTATGAGGAAGAAAGTTGTAATAATTCCAAGACAAAGGGACGAAAGAGATTGAAAAGAATGAGTGATGATGTAGCATTTAAATTGAATAATCAAGAAGAAGACGAAGAAGAAGAGCAAGAAGAAGAAGAGAAGCAGAAGGAAGAAGAGAATCAGAAGATTGAAGAAGGACGTTCTAGTGTGAGTTTATTAGATCAAGCCTATGAAATGCGTAAGAAGATGGAAGAACAAGGAGTGAATCAACAAAAGATACAACAGGATGCACAGGAAGTTCATATGCTCAAGGAAGCAAGTTATGTTCAAAAAGTGGCACTTGTATCAGCTCATGAACGAGCAGAAGGAATTCATTATAAAGAAATAATGAAAACAACATGGAAACCACCAGGTTTTATTGCAAACATGACACAGGAAGAATGTGACGCTGTTCGAAAGAAGTGGCATATTCTAGTGGAAGGTGAAAACGTCCCGCCGCCGATCAAATCGTTCGAGTACATGCGATTCCCACAAGCAATTTTAGATGCTCTAAAGGCAAAAAATATCATGAGACCTACACCGATTCAAGTGCAAGCAATACCGTGTATTCTGGCAGGACGGGACATGATTGGTATTGCATTCACAGGTTCGGGAAAGACAGTGACATTCACGTTGCCATTGGTGATGTTGGCGCTTGAGGAGGAAAAGAAAATGCCAATTACTGGCCATGAAGGTCCTTTTGGACTAATTGTGGGACCGTCACGCGAGCTCATGAGACAGACATTTGAAGTAGTAAAGCACTTTACAAACCACCTATTCAAGGCAGGTTATCCGGAACTCCGGAGTCTGCTTTGCATTGGTGGAGAAGACAAGCGTCAACAATCCGACTTGATCGCCAGTCGTGGTGTGCATATCGTGGTCGCTACTCCTGGTCGTCTGAACCACTTTTTGAAGCTACGCGAGATGAATCTGCGTTTGTGTAAATACATTTGTTTAGATGAAGGCGATCGTATGCTGGACTTGGGCTTTGACGAAGAAGTTGCAACGACCTTCAACCATTTTACAAACCAGAGACAGACGCTGCTTTTTTTCAGCTACGATGCCCCAAAAGTTCCAGGATTTTGCCAAGGACGTGCTAGTTAAGCCTGTTCTAGTTAATGTCGGTCGTGCCGGCGCTGCCAACTTGGATGTGATCCAAGAAGTTGAGTACGTGAAGCAGGACGCTAAGATTGTTTATCTGCTGGAGTGCTTGCAGAAGACAAGTCCTCCCGTTGTTATATTCTGCGAGCGCAAAGGCGATGTTGACGATATATATGAGTATCTGATCTTGAAGGGCGTTGAAGCAGCCTCGATTCACGGTGGAAAGGACCAAGAGGAGCGTAATGAGGCAATCGATTTATTCAAGAGCGGGCAAAAGGATGTACTGGTTGCCACGGATGTGGCTGCCAAGGGTCTTGACTTTCCAGATATTAAACACGTCATCAATTTCGACATGCCTGCAGAAATTGAAAATTATGTGCATCGAATTGGCCGCACTGGTCGTTGTGGTAAGACCGGTGTTGCTACGACCTTTATCAACAAAAGTGTACCAGAGAGTGCACTGTTGGATCTGAAGCATTTGCTTGTCGAGGCCAAGCAAACGGTGCCGCCGGTACTTAAGGTGTTGGAGGACCCGTACGAGGACTTGGAGCGTGCTGGCGACGGCCTTTCCAATGCCACAGGCACCAAGGGCTGTGCCTTTTGCGGTGGTCTGGGTCACCGTATTACGGACTGTCCAAAGGTGGATTCACAGGTACGAAAGATTGGTGCAGGCAAGCGCGACTTCCTCGCTGGAAAGAGCGAAGGTTATGGCGGAGACTCGCTTGGTTAATTGTACAGTTCGCAAGTATTCCAAGGGTAAGAAGTTTTACAATATATTCGCACAGTGCAATCATCTAACGCGTTTGCATGTCAGGGTCAGTTCGGCAATACAGTGAAGCAGCACAGTATAAAGATACCGCACAAGGAACCACAAGCAAGACGACTTGACTGCAAAAAAACACTTGAGCCTGTAAGCCTTTTCCTGCTGAATGTAGCTCGTCCATGCACATTTCGCTGTCTAGACGCTTTTTCGTGAATCTATTGGAGCCGTACAAACGGCGACGGTATTCATGAGATTAGATAGAGGTGGGAAGACGACGATTTTGTATCACTCGTGCTTAGGCAAGACCATTGCAGGTACTTCGACCATAGACTTTAGTGTCGAGACTATGAGTACAACGGCCATGAACTCAATGTTTTGTTAATTTTTCAATCCTCCCATGTGGTTTAATGTTGGATCTGAATACCTGCACCCAAATTACAGGCATCGCCTCACTGAAACACAGCCATAATTTAACAATCTACATGAACATCACGTTACTTGTAAACATTCAAATCCAAGAGGTATGCTTGCTTGCATCCAAGCAAAATTGCTGAAGCACACAAGATGTTCAACATCCCAACAAATGCACTATGAATTCCATCCAAATCGTTCACAATCATCGCGTCAAGGTGCAGCCAGAGTAGTCGCCACGAAGCAAGAATTCAAGCGACAGCATCACACGGCTTTGCTAAACGTAACTGGGGCTTTCACCGTTGACGCGGCAGTCCATAAACAAATAGACATCTTCAGCTGCTGCAAAAGCAAATATAGCCTTCATTCTTGACCCGGTGATTTGGAAAAGGAATGTGAGGTGCGTACGTGAGCCACCTCACCTATCCACTTCTACAAAGCGTCCCACGGAGCGTCAAGGCCCCAACGCTTTCACAGAGCACTCTACACCGACGGGTGGATTGCTTAACACTAACGACTATTCTATCTTATAGTAGGTATGCGCGCGGGGTACCCACGTCTTCAAGGCAAATCAAGCATGTAGAACGGGTACCGTCGAAGACCAGTCGTGCGCAAACGCAACACCTTCGTACTTCTTGGCACCAGGGATTTCAGTCTCATCCATGAGCACATTGCCCTCCAAGTCAAACACGGTAATAAAGGACGTCTGTTTTTTTTCATCCTCTACCTCCACACTTTTAATAGCCACAACGACTGAATCATCCGTTCGTGGAACAAACTTGAACGAAGAAAATCCGCGCAATGGCGTGACCTTGCCGACTTCACGCACCTGGATGCTACTAAAATCTTCACTTGCAAGGACGACCTTGTTGGAGCCATGCTTCTCGTCCTCGACGTCATTGTACATACTCGTGCTCACACGTCGAGGCAGGATGAACCATTGACGATGGATGGAACTCCATTCAATCGCTTCGTGTACCACGTAACCAGGCCAGTCACATCCCAAAGCTGTGCGCACAGCCGCAAAGTTAGCTGTCCAGTCTTCGTGACGAATGTCACCGACGTGATCCATAATAGCAACCCACAGATTTCCATCACCAATGACGTTGCCAGAGTTATCGGTAAACTCCTTGCCAACACTGCCCATGTACAGCTCGCCGTCCTTGACCGTGGCCCACTCGTGCTTCTGGCCCTTACTAGCAATTCCATCTCCTTCCATGACAATGTGCTCTGGAATAGCCTGCAACGGTTTTGTCTTGCTACCACCCTCAAAGTGCTTGAGTCGAAAGACAATACCTGTACGATCATCAAAAGCCAACAGCTTGCCATTAAACCAGACCAGCTCACTTAGCTCAAAGCCACGTCCAGCTTCATTAATGCTCGTCGTGAACTTAGTCTCTTCACCAAACGTAACAGAGTAGACGTCACGATTGAAGCGTGAGCTAGAACTATCAGGTATGACCTTGAGTGTAGCATGCATAATGTACGAGATAAACTGCGGCTTCACGCTGCTCTCGTCCTTTGATTGTTTATCCAGATCAGCCACAATGACAATACTAAAAGAGTCTGGTCTTGTTGATGGTAAAAGTGTTGATCCATGCCTTAGATTATACTTGACATTGTCCATTGATGACACTTGCTGATGTTGCTTGTTCTTCTCTTGATCATTATACTTCCTCCAATTCTCAGGCGTTCGCTCATAATTGACACGATGTTCGTTGCTCACCTTCTTTCCATAATGATTCCCACTGATTGAAGTATTTGACAAGAAAATATACGCAACAATAGCGAGAAGAAGAAGAAACAGTAGCAAGAAGACTTGTCCGTGACGACGGATCACCTTTAGAGACTGAGATCGAAATGATGCAGTACTTAGTTCTCTAGAAAGAGGTTTACTACATAATTCTGACCACATATGATTACTTCCTTCGTCTAAAGTACTGAGCTTACGCTTCTTCTTCTTCGTATCAATACACGATACGAGCATACAATAATAATAATACTATACTATACTATATACACACTTACTCAACCAATAAGCACAGTCAAATTGGATGAGATAGATAGATCAAGTAAGTACTTTTTGGCTGAACACGTAATGAACTCGACTATGAACGAAATCATCACAAGATGATGATTGGACAATGTAAAGTGGTAGAGATTGAGATATCTGACCAATCAAAACATGCCGTCGAAGCTGCAGAGATATAATGCTGACATAGCATTAAGTACGAAAATGAATTAATATTGGAAAAGTATGGCAGCAAGTAAGAACGAAGAAGTGGCAGCGCTTGAGGCATTGCGAGATTCATCGGCAGAGTTAGTGCGGTATTTGGACGGTATTAATGAGAAATTATTGCAGATTAATCATCAGAATGAAAGTAAGAAGAAGAAGAGTGGATGTAGTGATAGTCATTGTATCATGTTTAGTAGTGTACTAATATGATTAAATCATATTTGTGTAACTATGAAGTGTCACTGCGTGTGTTAGAAAACTGGTCAAGTGTAATTGCCATTACTAAGGTTAGCTTTGAATCAGCTGCTGCTGCTTCTTCTTCAACAGGGAATAAATCTCAGGCAGAAAAGGCCTTTGTACGGACTTCACCATAAGATTCTAAAGAAAAGAGCGGCGTCACACGCAGTCAGAAGAGATGGTCCAAATGCTTTGACTGCTGCATCCTTTAGCTACTTGCTTTCTTTCATGTAGGGCTAAAGCTGAGCTGAGCATCTAATATGGAACAAAAGTCTGGTCGTGATTGTATCATCATTTTCTTTCCATTCATGTTGGACAACTTCGAAGTATAGCAACCAAGACAAGTGTGACCGTAATGATGAGTCATCAAGTGATTGTTGACACGAGGGTTTGATTGCCAGGTGTACGAAATCGTTTCATCCGCCTGAATCTTACTGCTATTCATCAGACATACGCAGTTCTTATTATTATTTGCAATATACGCATCTGGACTTGACGTGCTTTTTTTCGGCTGCACTCGTGCAATATTTCATTACGTTTTGCATCAACATTGGAAGGCGTCATCGAGCTTACTACTTCCCACAAGATACACTCTTGCTCTAGCATTCTTGCTATCAGCATGATGCACCTGCATACGTAGAGTCCCTTCAAAGCAATGCAACTTCTCCTCGCAATGCTAGCCTGATGATCACAAGACTGTACTCATACGGATTGAGCGAGAAGAAAATCGCTTCCTGTCGTTTTTACCATGTGAGTATTGTCACTTTTTCATTGCTACATCTAAAATCGTCGTTCGAGCAGGCAGTAACAACTTTGCAGCGCCTTGACCGATTCAATGCATCATTGCTGACAAATATCAAGTGAGTCTTGATGGCTTAATCTCCTAGTTTACTGAGTTTGGTGAAGTGACAGAAATTGCATCAGGTAGAGCCAACGATTTGACTATAATGCGTTTGGTAGCAATACTGAAGTGCAGTGAGAGTTTTCTGCGACGTGTGCGGATACCTTTTGAATACGATGTCAGCATAGACAGGATACAAGATTTCATTGGTGAAGGAGTAAGTACCTTGTCTTTTGTAAGGTCCGTGGAGTGATTGGCTATCGGTGGCCTTCCAACAGCAATACTCAAGCAAGCAAAAGCGACAGTAACGTTAGAGACGTCGTCGGGTATTTTTACCACTAAACCCTTTATTCACCTTAAAAAAGGTTTGTTTACAGGAAATGCGATAGCTTTATCAATGCTCATGAAGCTTCATAAGGTGTCAAGATGAATTACTACTAGTGTATTAACAGATTCTCTTACTTATTTCCGCACAGATGCGTCACGTTGCTGCTTTACTGTTGTGTGTACTCGGTGGAAACTCCACTCCCTCTGTAGCTGACATTGAGAAGGTCATCAAGTCTTTTGGCGGTGAGTTCGACCAGGAACAAGCCGAGAAGCTTGTCAAGGAGCTTGAGGGCAAGAACGTTGAAGAGGTGATCAAGGCTGGCAAGGCCAAGCTCGCCACTGTGTCGGTGGGCGCTGCGCCTGCTGCAGGTACTGCCACTTCTGGTGCCGCTCCTGCCAAGGTGGAGGAGAAGGTCGTTGAAGAGGAGGAAGAGGTCGAAATGTCAGGTGGTATGGACATGTTCGGTGGAGACGAAGACTACTAGACGTCGTCACTTCTCACGTTGCACCGTGCAACGCGATCTGCCGCACGTTGCTTGTTGTGTCGGATAGCATCTCAGTATAATTGAACGGGCATGTCAGTATCTGACATCTTTCAGACACGACAGTGGGTTATTTGACGTACCAAACCATTTTGTTGGATTTTCAATGTATTTGTTGATAGCTAGAATATGAAAAAGCTGCGGACTACGATTGCAATATCGTCTGCTTACGCATTTCTCCCACGTCTCGTGCATCAGAAGATTAGCTCATCAATAAGTTTGCAGATTCCTGTTTAGCCCAGGATTTTTCTACTCACGCGACGACAGATTCCAACCCAACCCATTGCGGATACAGTACCAAGTGGAAAGCCTGGAAATGACATCAGTCGCTCCACAGGCAGCATATAACCCTGCGGCAACACCACTAGTGGCTCATTCCAGTAGTACAGCATGATCAATCCCATCAAAAGTGGCTGATGTCGTCAAAGCAAATAAGCGCAACACAAAACGTCAGATTTTACTCAGTTACCCTTGGCAAAAGCCGTCGATGTTTTACAACAGCAATACTGCAAACTCACCGTTCGAATGCGGCCAAGCTGCTTCTGAAGCTCTGAAGGTGCGCATGCAGCTAGTCGCTCGACTGTCAAATGACACATGGATATTCACAGCATTGATTAACAATCATTCATCTTGTTACATGGATTAACAATATACCAAATTGTCTTGAGCCTTATTTCGATATCAAACATTACCTGCAAGCTCCTGTATCTTCTTTTTAATCGCATTCATTTTGCGTGTGGCCTTAGCTTGCTCTACAAATGTCTCGACCGAATTAAGGCGGTTGACGAGTCGCACCTGGGCATTGTACTCGCCCATCAGCTTTTGCTCAGCTAATGTCGGTTGTGTACCATTTCGATTCCACAAGTATACGGCTAAATCGATGGCAAGCATGACGCCTGCAATCAGCAGCACGTCGTACACTTTAAGCGTTATAATCGTTGGGATTTTTACCATCTTGACAGGAAGTGAGTTTAAATGGTTTTACTCATGATGTAGTGGTTACATAATTGCAATAAATGACGAGAAATAATATAATTTTTAGTGACTATTGCAGATATTTGTAAAACTAATATCATACTCTGCCAGTAGTACTTCTAAACTACTATCCTTTGGCTGCGCTTTCGACTGTATACTATTGCAATTGATGTATACTACTACAATTTAGTCTAAGCTACAAGTACTATCCCCAAGATAGTACTATTATAAACCAAGCCAATCGAATCCTCATGGCGGACGACATGCGAGCACTCCGCTCTTTTGTAACGGCCATGGACGGCCATCAATATGATAATATTCCCAAAGGTGTTGTATGTTTACTCATCACTCATAGCAATCTTAAGTTGCAGATGGTGGATATCCGACTGGACTTGCATAGCACCATTGGAGAGCTGCGTCACAAGATCTATCAACACACTGGAACCAAGCCAGATGCTATGGAGCTACTGATTATGCACAGCGATGGTTCTGTATACAGTCGTCTAGATGATGATCAGAAAAAGCTTGGATTTTATAGTGTACAGAATGGTATGCGGCTGCATGTGGTCGACAAGGATCCGTTCTCGCTCTCGAGAGGAGGTGGTCTTGAGGACGTCTCGCTTGTCAAGAAGTACGAGATCTCGGAAGAAGACTACAACATGCGTAAGATTGGTGGACTTGTAGTGTTGCGAACTGCTGTTGATTGATGGCATGTTGCTACTGCTACAACAGGCGAGAAGACTGTGCGTGCGTACAAGAGAGAGCAACTCGCCAAGGACCCCAAGTGGAAGCCCAAGCCCATGATGAACGTCGCTAAACCTGCTGCAGATCCGTCTACATTTCCAGACTCAGAGAGTGTTGCAAATATGAAGGTGGGGGGATCGGTGTGAGGTGCAGCCAGGTGGACGTCGTGGACAAGTGCAGTTTATAGGGGAAATCCCAGAGATCGCGCCTGGCTTTTGGGTGGGCGTGCAGTTCGACGAGCCCGTTGGCAAAGGCAACGGTTCAGTCAAGGGTGTAACGTATTTCAAGTGCAAGAACAAGTACGGTGGCTTTGTGCGTCCGCACAACGTGGTAGTGGGTGACTTTCAGGTGCTCGACCCATTTGCTGACATGTCAGACGACGATGACGAGCTGTAGTTTGCAGTTAAACCGCACCGGTACCTGTTTCGCTCTTACTGCTATCGAAATACTGCTGCAACATAAAGTTTTTGTGACGGCAAAAGACAGATTGATTCGATCGGTCTGCGCGGCCACAAGCCAAGCAAAATCTGCATCATTAACGACACAACTAGCAAAGTGTAACACCAGAACAGTAATTGATTTTAACTTACGTGCCCAGTGTTTCTGCTGATGTGCTGCTTTATCACCAATGCCCTGTCATGTCCAGCCAGCCAATGAACCCCTTTAAGCTCTGTAAACCAGACTTGGGATGCAATAGAAAGCTCCTTGATCGAGATAACAACACCAATGAGACTTTCTTTACACGTCAGCTTTTCTTGTAATCTCCTCAACGTTCCAGTGCTTGCGCTTAGACAGTGGACGCGTGCTTGATAGACGCACCAAGTCGCCAATATTACACGCATTTTCCTCGTCGTGAGCCATAAATTTCTTGGTCTTCTTGTAATATTTGCCATATTTTGGGTCCTTTACAATACGAGCCACTTCCACTAGCACTGATTTTTGCATCTTATTCGATACAATCTTCCCAAACAACGGCTTCATCGTGGTAATTCACGTGAGATGATAACAACAACAAGAACAAGAAGTAGCAACTCGGAGCAATTATTGTTTGGTCAAAAAACAGGTGTGTATGATCGGATATGAGGGGGCGTAATCGAAGAATGTGATTCGCTAAGAGCAGATTTGTTTTTATCCAATGCATGGCCGTCCTTGAAGTCGCCACGTCACACAATCACTATTCATTACTAAATGGATACAAGTTTGTTTGTGCCGTATGTGGATGCGCGTGACACTGAGGTGGATTATGTGAAACTAGTGACACCATGGGGAAATATAAAGCTGAATAAAGGATTTATAATGCAGCTGGCATTTAGTGTAATGGTCATTGTGGTGACTGTGATGCTATGGCGATGTTCCATAAGACTTAACGCGACGCTTAAACAGAAGATTGCGACTAAGGAGAGACTTGATGAAGATAAAGAGGAGGAGGAGGAGGAAGAGATCGAAGAAGAAGAGGAAGAAGAAGAAAGTATGGGAATACCGGATGAGAAAATGGTCGAACAAGGAGAAAATCGTTACTTCTATACGCATCAGCACCAAGATGCCATTGATGGCAAGAAAAGGGTTACAGTATCATCCTATGGCTGGAGTGATAGCAAGAAAATGGTTAGGTAAGGTAGATGCAGCAATGAATGAATATGTACGGGACACTTTTTGTTTTACTGACAATGTTGATTGTGTATTTGTGTTGTTATGGACAGTATTTACCTGACGGATAATGCTGTAAGGAACATGAAGGATGAGCAATTGAAAGTGGTGGGTAATGTTTGGTTTGTACATTTTTATGGTTTTGTGTAAAGTTGATGCTAACTTTGTTATTGCCAATGGTAGAACTGGACCAATATGTCGTTATCAATGGATCTGTTCAACACATCTGGTAGTGGTGACCTAGCCAAGAGCTTGGTGATTTCAAATTTGTTCCAGGAGATCATCGGTATAACGTGGGAAGTGTACAAAGACACATTAACGATCGTTTTGATGAAGGCGCAGGAGATACCATGGACGTCTTTGAACGGAGCGGCCAGGAAAATGGAAGATCACATTGAGTACGATGATGCCTTTTATGAGTAAGATTAGAAATGGGTACGTTCAATCACCGTCGCGTATTCAAATGCTAGTGTGGTTGGTTCATCCATCTGTATAGATACATAATAAAGCGCTCATGCGCGTGACTTGTGTTGGGTATAGGAACCAAGTTGCTTCTTTTGTATGCGTCCAAAATCGGACAATAGAGCAGATATACTGAGTACTGAATGCAGGTAGTGAAGAAAGTATGTGTCGACGCAAAGGCCACAGCTGGTGGGAGGTCATTTAGCACGTGCTGACGGCTCAGAGACCTTCCGAGCTGTCCTGGTCTCGTGCTGTTTGTGATCTCCTCCAAATGTATACTCGCTCACTGATCAAACAAGCCTATGTCCACAACTAGCGCCGTATTGCGCGTGAAGTAGCTGCGAACTTTGGCGGGCACGCAAGAGGTGCTGGAGTCATGCAACCTGTGTGTCTTGAAAGGCGGGTCTTGTGTCCACAGCACCACATTGTTCACCAGGTGCGAAAGATAAGGAAGCACATATAATTCGTATGAAACTTTGTGAGTAGTAGACCCTCGCTTATCGACGTACTCTGTGCAAAGCCGGCTTGTAACAATCGATATCTTGTCGCCATGTATGAGAGAACGTCACACACACAGCGCCGAACAACCATTGGTCTTTGCTTTGGGGACACGAAACACAGGTTGCAATTGTTAACCTGAGCTAACCGTTTTAAGTCTGACAAAGTAGTTTTAGCGTCGACTTCGCACGCACGATCTGTTCAAGCAAAACTGACACCGAGCTTCTAAGCTTTTCTTGTCTGCAATTACCATGCATTTATTCATTGCATATCGGTGTAGATTCATCTCTAGTAAGCACCGACTTTGTGTCTTGAAGCTCCTCCATCAGTAAATTTTTGTGCTGTGAGAAAAAAGTCTCAACTTGCTCGCTTTCCTCTTCCGAGACAGAAACACATTTATCTGGAATGCTCTTTCCTTCACCTGTCAGCAACTTGAATGAGGTATTGCACTTCACCTCTTCCTCTTCAATCTCCATTGCTTCGGGTACTTCAGCCGAAACCTGCTGATCGTTTGCATTCGAGGATATTGTCTCAATTACATCGTGAGCTATGGGGTACTGATCAGCGTCGGCCACAAGTACAACGGTGATCACAGGAAATTCGACTACGGCCTTACGCTTTAGATTGCTTTCAAGGCTCTCATTACCATTAAGGCGGTAGTACTGTGGCTGCGATGCCGCGGTGAACTCTTTTCGCAAAAGCAGTACAATGTGCTTCTCCCAATTAGGCACAGCATATTTCTTGAGCTTGCCACGTACAGCAACATTTTCCTACATACACACAAGCAAACAACCGTTACTTTTGGGTTTGAAGCATTAGTTTGTGATGCAAAAACACTTACCGGGGTGGGTGTTAGATACTTCTTCAGCAGCGCGAAGAGTGAGGTTTTCTCATCCGCTCGTTCCTCAAAATGACTCACCGGCACTGCGGCGCTAGGAAACTCCCACTCAACACGCCAGTACATTGTGTTTTTCTTCTTATTCATGTAGGAAGAGTTACGCGTGCGTTTGCTCATGCCCGGAGCAAGGAGTGTCAACGCGACGCCTCGTTTGGCCGAGTGCTCAGCAAATAGCTGAACAGCAACGGGAAAGCGTGCCAACCAGTCCGCAGGAACATCAGGGTTGATTTGACTCGATGATGGTCCAGTATTGTATCGATCCGGTGCACCTTTTCGCTTCTTATTGCCAGTATAGCGTCGCGCGTTCGCATTCAACTGGCTGCGAGATCGTGCTGCGCTGTTCGTTGAGCGAGAGACCTCCTCCAAGAAAAAGAAATCTGCAACAGACACCAAATAAAATATAAAAATACATACATTTTACAAGACTAGAGAAAGTAGATCGACATTGAGACACCAGCGAGCAGCATCAATGGACGCGTACCACTGGAAAGATCAGCATCTGTGAAATTCTTCATCTGCACGTACTTTGTGCGATCACGCTTTCCATTACATTCAAACTGCCATCAAGAATACAAAAAGATGCAGCACATGCAGTGCATGATTAACACAAAGACCTTTGTAGACAGTATTACGTTCGTTTCGTACTCACCTGCTTCTTGTGCCATACGCAGCACTGCAGCGAACACGTGATGCGGTCACAGCGAGGACATCGATACTTGACATTACTATTTCCACATTGACAACATACAACATCTGCCTCTTCTGTTGATAATAATACATCTTTCATTGGTATTTCCATGTCATTTAATGTGCGCTTGGTGTTATTTGTGTCCACCATTTTGTTACTGTGACGCGTTGTTACGAATGACGAAGTTGACGTCTTTTTATACGTGCATTCGTACTTAATATGAAATGTCGCTAAGTGACGACCAATCATTTGATTCAGTAAACAATCTTGTAACGAGGTGATGGTAGGCGTTGACTTGGAGATTGATGAAAGCAAATTATGGGACCCAGCAGAACGTCAGGCCTATATGGAAGCATTACCAGATATGACATTATTTGAGGATCATGTGGTCGAGGGAGATGAAATGGTAGAAGCTATACAGGCGCTAATTGAGGACGGGGAAACAGCGGAGAGTCTCGCGCTGCATTGGAAAAACCAAGGGAACAGTATGTTTTCAGATGCTAAGAAAGCGCATCGAGGCTACTTCCAGAATGCTATAAAGTTCTACAATGATGCACTAATATACGCGTACAAGGCGTTAGCATTACCCGAGGAAGAGCGCGACCTTTCGTACGACATGAAGCAACTTGCATCGCAGATTTTAAGTAATCGTGCGGCTGTGCATTTGGAGCTCAAAAATTATGCAAGTTGTCGTTCTGATGCTGCCAAAGCTGTTAGCTTTGATCCTTCTAATGTCAAAGCCTATTTTCGGGGTGCCAAGGCCTCAAGTATTCTGCGCAAGCCGGCGGATACGCTGCGCTACTGCGAGGAAGGACTTAAGTGCGATCCAGAGAACAAATTGCTGCTGAAGCTGCAAACAGAGGGTAAGAAACTGCTGGAGGAAATGCATGTGGAGAAGCTGCAGCGTGAGAGAGAAAGAATGAATCGGCGTGCTGCCACCGACAAATATCGCAAGTTGTGCGCAGCTCGTGGTATCCGTGTGGGCCGAGCTGTGGTGGACGATGAGCGCGTGCGTCAATATGAAGGCAAGGCTGACTTGGATCCCGAAAGCGGCAGCATGTACTGGCCTGTGCTTTTTCTTTACGACCAGCACGGCACGTCGGACTTTGTGCAGTACTTTGGCGAACAGGACAGTATGATCGAGCATCTGGCCAACATGTTTCCCGAAGACGGTCCGTATGCCGATTGGGACACCAACAATGAGTTTGTGGCGTCCAATCTAGTTATGTATGCTGCAGCGAATATGGTGCTACCATTTTCATCTCCTAAGGAATGGCATCTGGGTCTTAGTAATGAAAAAGAGGACGACGATGACGAAGTGAAGCGTATCCGTCTCGAGGAGAAGCACGAGGCCAAGACGCAATTTTGGATTGAGGTATCGCTCTTTTGTACACTCCAGCAGCTGCTAACACATGAGAAATATGTGGTACCTGGCATTCCTGTGCTTCATATTTTTGTACGTGGCTCAAATGCTCTCAATAAGTTTCTAACACGCATTGAGCGTAAGATTATTACATTAGACGCGGAGCAGCGGTTTAAGTAGCCATGTCTACAATTGGACAAAAAGCATACATCTTGACTCATTCCGATTGGCTATAATAAGAATACGCGTTATTTACTGGCTAAAAACATTCAATCGTTAACGACAGTTTACAACAACCTTTTACAAGATGGTGCGTATTGGCGTTCAATAGCTCGGTCTTGCGTCTCGATGGGGCGAGCCAGCGTCTAGTAAAGCTGCTATTGAACTAAATGATTGTACTAATGTTTTTTCTTTCTATACTATGTTATGTTGCTTGTTATATCTCTACAGTCTGGTCTGATTTTAAACCCCAAACCATTCCTGACCAATCTCACGGGTAAACCAGTGGTAGCACGACTGAAGTGGGGGATGGAATACAAGGGTGTACTATTATCTGTAGACTCTTATATGAACTTACAAATGGCCAATACGGAAGAGTATATTAATGGAGAACTCACGGGGAATCTTGGCGAGACACTAGTGCGCTGTAACAATGTGCTCTTTATCCGTGGTCTCATGGATGACGAAAAACCTCCTGCCGAATCACCAACGGATACAACCGAGTCAATGACGGACGCTTAGTAGACCCATTTACACAAAGCTGACGGTGGTAGTGTGAGAAGGAGAAAGAAGATGGGTGAGTATGATTGTGGTTGGCAAGGGTGCGTGTTTCCATTACAAGAGATAGGTCGAAGCAGGTAAAGACTGTAGCACAATGTGAGAGAAGCAGCTTGACAAGACTGTCGCTCTCTGCGTCAACGTAGCTCCTCATTCCAAATTGCTGCTGATAGGACGCATCCAGCGTTATGCTTCTCCTTTATATACATTGATTGCTCATTGGTACTTCCACACAGTCAACATCAGTTGCTCGTAAGAAAAACCATTTAGCAACACATTAAAACTCTTTCCATTGTTTACCACACGTGCATGAGATACGTCGAAATGCATTCCCTACGACTTCAGGAAGCCGAATAGATCGTCGTCATCCAGCTCCACGTTCAGATCAATACGATCCCAACGGTAAAGATCGATCCCGTCATCGTCACCCTTCATTTCCGCTGGTAATCCAGCTGTACTGCTAACTGCCACTGCAGACCCATTGGAAGCTGCTGTTGTTGAGACTACAATTGCCTCGCTGGTTGCTGGAGCTTCCACAAGTTTGTCTGTTCGCACACTTGCTGTCGGCACTGATGCCTGCGCAGCTGCGGCGGACAAAGACGGCCGAGATAATATATTCATTTGCTGCTGATATCGTTTTTGGTGGTCCTGTTGTTGCTGATGTTGATACTGCTGGTGCTGAAGCTGCTGAGCATTGCACCAAGACTCACTATATCCCCTGGAGGGAACTTGCGGGTCGCCTCTGTTTGGAACCAAGCTACTATCAATTGATCCCACGCTGCTGTGATGAGCAAGATGTTGTGCAACTTCCACTTTGCGCGTGAGCATCTGGCGGTGAAGATTCATTTGGGCTTGCATAGCAAGGTGCATTTGCATTTGCAGATCAGACGGTTCCTCATGAAGCAAAAATCCGTCCGTGGCACTGCCACCGCGAGCTATTGCGTCGCTAGTAGCTGCTTGCGAAAACAGTCCACCTTCACCTACAAGTCCAGTCATACCAGCAAGCTGTGGCGACATGAGCGAGTTTAAAATGTTCCATTGCGGATCCGGAAGAACGGGCATACCAGCAACTCCTCCAGCAATGGGGCCCGACAGATGTCCTAATGGATAGCGGTGTGCTACCATAGCGGCTGCTGCAGCCGCCAAATCTCGATGGTGGCCCGATGGCTGCTTTGGTTGAGCATGGGCATAAACTGGTGGCAAGTGGTGGGGTGCCATATGAAGCAAACTTGTGGATGCTAGTGCTGGTGCCACGCTCGTCACACAACCATTTGATATAGAAGGTTGTAATGGAAGATGACCGCTCGTTGGCTGTTGTGCACTCTGCATGAACTGTGAGCAGTTGGAAGTATGCGGGCGGGTCTCCGCACCTGGTGCCGAAGGACATAGCCGTCGCTTTGGAGTATCCTGTCTTTTAGCATCCACCTGCATGCTGCTATCATTGGGATCGTTCCCGCTGCCGTCAGAGTCGCTATCGTCACTGTCACTCCCATGCCCCCTCCGGCACTTAGAGTTACTAATTGGAAACACGAACATAGTATTGGCCTCGCTGTCTGCCCCGCTAGCTCGATGCTGGTTCTGGCGGCGACGCCGCTTGAGATTGCGCTTAGCACTGCGGTCATAATATTCAAGAAACTCCATCCGAGAGCGCTCGTAATGGAGGCGATATTTTTGTAAATGAGATTTGAGGTGCTCCGTCGTGAGCCCTGAGTTGGGCCCTGCCGCCTCCATTAGCTGTATTCAGTAAAAGCCAACTATTATGTTAGCAGACTTGTGTCTTCACTTTACGCAAAACAAATAGAAAATACGTACAGCAAGCAGAGCTTTTGGCGACGCATTTTTGAGGCCGACTAAAGCATAACATATAAATAGAGCAACAGTGTTAGTACTAGTTCTATACATCATCACAGTCTCACGATCCTAAACGCACCATCAAAGATGGCAGCTACGAAAAGTCGATGAAGGTCGTTGGGCCAGATGAAGCGCTTTGTCTTGCGTTCGTACTTGCGCTGCTTGGTCACTGGCTTGTCCAAATCTCTAGGAGCCGCAGTTGATTCAGTCTTTCGTCGTCTCCCAGTAGAAAAGGTAGTAGAAGGGTTTATTGCACTGGCAGCAGCACCAACTTTGTCCTCGCAGCACTTGGCGTCACAGCCGGGCGAGCGCGCCCGGTTCATAGAGGGAGATGAAGATGTGTCTGTGCGCGCCTCGTCGCTGCTATCCAGCACCGTCGGAATCCTCTTGATGAAGGTCTGCGGCCGACTCACTGGTGTGGAAGCGGGGGCGTTTCCAGAAGCTAAATTTGCCATTCAGCTCTGTCCGTTGCAGTCCGATAAGCTTAAACGCCACAGGATGAGGCCAATAGATGGGAACAGAAGCTTACAAACAAAAATATTTGTCTGTCTCTGTGGTTGTCAAATCCTCAGGAAGTCGCAGTTAACAGAAATTGCAACGTCAGACACTTGAATAATGTAGCGTTTACACTATAAAATCAAATGCCAAGCAGTAGTCAATGGCACTTGTAGCAAATGACAATGATGAGTTACTGATCTTTTATTTTGACGTGCTTTTTAACTTGTACGGTCTCAATCGTACTGAGATGCGAACCAATAGAGTACAAAAGAGAGTGGAATCTTGAATGACGTCTTGGGACTTCTATGTTAATTATATACTAAATGAATGGCCAAAGATCGTCACAATAAGCCAGAATTCTACCAAACATGGCCAAGAACCTCGCGTTATGTGGGCGGCTACTGGACCAATAAGGCTGCTGGCTAACTTTTCTGCATCATTAAGCGGCTGCCTAATGATAGAAGCAAAATTTCTTTATCGCCACGTAGACGAAGATGACGTGCGGACTGTAAAGCTTGTAAAGCCATTCACCCCAACAGAAGTGACACACAAGCAGCAATATGAACACGGTACTGACGGAGTGTGCTGAATCGAAGCAGAAAACAAATAAAATGAAGCGTCGACTAACTGTATCCTTGTATCTCTTTGAAGCTTGTGTTTCCTCATTGTCGGCCACCAGCCAACCAAACATGCACATTGGTTTTGCTACAGATATGCATAAGTCTTGTAGGATAACCAGTGAGTCACGTGTTTATCTTTAGCTGTGCAAGGTGCTGATTGACCTATCACGCTTAAGCGTGTGAGCTTGAGCACATATTCAGGTCACAGGAGTGCGATCGCGTTTTACAAGTGGCTGCTGTCGGAATGTGGTGATAGTCGCCAAACCTTTGAATAGGCGGATTTGTTCCACCCCCTGGGCGGAACTTTACGCTCACGTACCGTATTAATACCGGCGCGTATTTGTGTCGTCGGTTAAACCACTTAACGAAAGAAGAAACTAGCTGTGCATGCATCATAAGGACTCACTTCGAGTAGCATTGTATCAAATAGCACATAGCATTGACACCATCATTAGGTGTCAATGTAAATATTATCTAAATAGATATGACTCGACAATATTATCTTACGAGAAAGTTTTGTATGTTATTACTCTTGGAGTTGCGCGTATTGGCTAATATATGTCAGTATGTAAGCAAAGTGCCGGCCAAAGAAGTTTGGATGCGCGCAATGAATAGCAAATAGCTAGTCGACATACATATTTATAGTTGTATGTAGTCAAAGTAAGGCTAAGATATTTTAGATAAAAAGGGCTTATTTATACTGTAAAAGCAGGTCTCTTCTAACACGTGTTCTTATTGGGTAATCCGCTTCCTTTAAACACAGTGTACGTGATGTTACGCGGCACCTGCCTACATCACTGTCAGTATAGCCACTATACTGTTATTCGTATACCCGTCACAATTATAGTGTAACAAGGTTACACAAGGTGAGTATTTTACATACACACCTGCTACACCATTGTGGTGTGGTTGTACTTTGGGTACACTGGTACATCGATGTAACCATAGCCAAGGTACAAAAAAGGTCATATCGTGGCAGAGAGCCACGTGGTCATTATACTTAGTTTAAGTATAATGTATACATGTGTTTGCATATTAGAAGGCTACCGAGCCAGATAAATAGTGACTAGCACTAAGTATAGAGTAGATGCTCCAATATTTAATGCTAAAGATAAACATTTAATAAATCAGTTTCAAACCTGCTCTGTATAGCATTGTTGCTACAGCATCAGTCTTTGTAGAAAGGAATTTGTATCTTGGATATGAGTCTCATTGAGACGTGGTTGTGCAACCAAAAAGTCACATGCTTGTAAGGCTAGCCTTGGGAGAGTTAGGAGCCCTAAGACGTAAAGCTCTAGAGCTTGTCGTTCTCTGCACTTGGTGCAAAAGTAGATCTGCTACGGTAGCTCTACTACAAGAAGCCCTATGCACATGTGAAATTTGCCGAAGATAAATTCCATGAGGCGACTTCGGTGCGGGTAAAGCCTCCAGTGAGAGCATGTCCAGGCTAGGTAATGTCAGCAGATTAAAAAAAGGATTAAATATGTTATTTTGGTCAGCCTATCGTCTAAAGGTTTTTCCACGTTATCCTACGAGTCGCTTTGACTACTCTGAGACGCACGTTTCTGGTGCCTCCTTGGATGAGGCGCATCACACCACATTAATCCAGGATACCGATACTATTTCAAATACTTCTCCCACCCCAATTGTTGAGCACCATCCCAATGTCTTCACTCATTATTCATTCGCTAGATCCGAAATAACTTGGGATCAGTGTGTATCAGTAGCGATGTCACCTTTGACAAGACGATTGTTGGTATTTCGACGTTGAGTGCAAGTGATGACGACAAAGATGGCTACGCTGGACTTCAGTGGACTCGACATCAGTGATGATGACGGAGGTCCAGTACAGTACCAGCAGACTGGAAAACGCAAGGACCGTTCGAGTGACGCCAACAGCAAGGATGACTACTCGCGTCCAGCTCATCATGGTGCTAGCCTTGAAGAAGCAAGTGCTCCTGATCGCGCATTTCGGCGCCAAGTGAAGAGTCGACCAGGCATGCATGCTGGACCTGATCTGTCAGAAGAAGAAGAAAAGGACAACCATGATGATGAAGATAGCGACTCGACTCCTCCAATGTTTTGGCGAGCAAGTGTCAACGCAGTTGAAGTGAGTGATCTGTCAGAGCCAGCGACATTTCAAGACGCGGTGAACGGACCCGACAAAGTTCACTGGCGTGAAGCAATCAACGCAGGGCTCAAGTCGATGCAACTTCGTGGAGTATTTCGTGCGGCTGTATTGCCAAAAGGACAACCAGCTATTGGAACCAAGTGGGTGTTCAAGATCAAGCGAAAAGTAGACGCTTCAATCGAGAAGTACAAGGCACGACTTGTGGCCAAGGGCTTCAAGCAGAAGTACGTCATCAACTACACGGAGACATTCTCACCAGTGGTCAAGTATGTGACGCTGCGCATGGTGGTCGCGATTACCAAGTACTTTGGCTGGCCTCTTGACCAACTTGACGTGGTCACAGCTTTTCTCTATGGTGTGATGAAAGAAACGGTGTACTGCGCGGTTCCAGAAGGCGTCGAATTGGACGGAGACTTCAACTGCCTCGAGTTGGTGAAGGCAATCTACGGTCTCAAGCAAGCTTCTCGTGTATGGAACGAGACCTTCGACGAGTTTGTTTGCTCCATCGACTTTCAAGTTTCGGCCTATGATCCGTGCCTCTACATCAAGATTGTGGACGGTCACTGCGTACTGTTGCTAGTCTACGTGGACGATGTGCTGGTGACTGGGAGCTCGACGGAACTCATTGCGTGTACCAAGAGCGACCTCAAGACGCGCTTCGAGATGACCGACAGTGGCAAGTGTGCTTTTGTGTTGGGCATAGAACTGGTCAAAAACGCTGACAATAGCGTGACGATGTGCCAGCGACGCTATGTGGATGACATTCTGAAGCGCTTTGGGATGGAAGACTGCAAGGCTGCAATAAGCCCAGCTGATGTGAGCACTCGACTGACTCGAAGCGATGCATTGACCAAGGTAAGCGCTCCATTTCGAGAAGCTGTGGGGGCGCTCATGCATCTGACGACCGCAACACGCCCAGACATAGCTTTTGCTGTGGGGTACGTATCGCGTTTCATGGAAAATCCCCAAGTCGAGCACTGGATTGCAGTGAAGCGTATTTTGCGCTATCTGCAAGGGACCAAGTCACATGGAATTTGTTTCAAGCCTGGTGAAGAAGTTGATTTTCGTGGATACTCCGATGCGGACTGGGCTGGAGACCATTCCGACCGCAAGTCGACTTCGGGATATGCGTTTCTGTTGATGAGCGCACCAATCAGTTGGGGAAGCAAGAAGCAGTCAGGTGTGTCGCTTTCAACGAGCGAAGCTGAGTACATTGCACTCAGCTTAGCGATCCAAGAAGGCAAGTGGGTTCACCGACTGCTGATCGAAATTCTAGCTAGCGTCAAACAAGTCGGCACCTGGACTGAAGATTCTCGAAGACAACCAGTCCTGCATCAAGATGACAAAGAATCCCGTCAACCATGGTCGTGCAAAACACATCGACATCAAGTACCATCACATCCGTGATGAAGTCAAGCGTGGTGAAGTGGAGCTTGAGCATTGTGAGACTTCCATCGTGCTCGCGGACATCTTGACGAAGGCACTTCGGGAACCTCGTCACAAGGACTTGACGGCTGCACTCGGTTCTCATGCGAGCTTGCATTGAGGGGGCGTGTTGAGGGTTACCGGTACAATCCGAACTCTAAGACTTAGTATTTACGGCAGGGTTCTTACAGGTAATTACGTCATGGTTGATTAGACAAGTAGCTTGATAGGAAGATCTACATAATTTATATGTGGACTACATATAAATCAGGACGTGAACAGTCGCAACTGATTTATATGTGGACTACATATAAATCAGTTGGTAGATAGAATAAGCTCTTATAAATCAATCACTTTCCAGTTTATCTACTTCAGCATAACTCGTCTCTACCCTTTAAGCGCAGACTTCCTCCGCCTATTCAAGCTTCGCAAGACCAAGTCTCATACCTTTCATCACAAAGTACTTGGTAATCGCGACCACCATGCGCAGCGTCACATACTTGACCACGGGCGAAACGTCTCCGTGCAGTCGATGCCATACTTCTGGCGAAAGCCCTTTGCCACGAGACGTGCCTTGTACTTCTCGATGGATCCGTCCGCTTTGCGTTTAATCTTGAAGATCCATTTGGTACCAATGGCATGTTGTCCGTTGGGCAACTTGGCTGCACGAAACACTCCACGTAGTCGTATTGACTCGAGCTTCGCATGAATTGTCTTACGCCAGTGCACTTGATCCGGGCCAGTCACTGCTGCTTCAAATGTCGACGGTTCCGACAAATCCACTGCTGTTTAAACAGCATTCGCACTCGCACGCCAAACACAGGCGGAGTCGATTCGTCCGATTCTTTGTTTGTTCATCTTCTTCTTTTTGGCGCGGCGAATCGTTCCTTGGTTCACTGTTTGTGTCCAATCCAGGCCGTTGACGTACAGTACGTGGTGACCAATCAGCCGCATCTTCATCACTGGAACGATTCTTGCGCTTGCCAGTTTGCTGATACTCCATTTGACGCATACCTTCATCATCAAGACCAAGCGTGTCGAAATCCAAGTCATCAGCGACGTCATCTTCAACTGGTGGCGAAAGTCCAAAACTTGACTCGTCAAAGTTGGCATTCTGACTGACAACAACCTGCCCCGCCTCAATGTCAAATACACGATATGCCTTGGACACTTCTTCGTAGCCCAAAAAGTTTCCCGCTTGAGCCTTGGGATCCCACTTGATTTGCTTCTCCTTGGAGTCACTATAAACGTCTGACATGCGAATACTCGCATGTGCTTGAAACTTCGCTTGGAGTTGTACACGATCTCAAACGGGGTCTTGTGCACATTTTTGGTGACGGTAGGCAATTCTTGACGTAGATGACCGTCATTGCTAATTCAGCCCAGAAGCACTTGTCCAACTTGGCATGGTGAAGCATGCTGCGGCCGATCGTGACGATAGTCCCGATGGCGCGATTGCTGTTCCGTTGTTCTGGTGTGCATACGGCACCGTCGTCTGCTGTTCAATGCCTTCATCCTCGTAGAAATCTTGAAGCGAGCTCGTCGCAAGCTCTCGAGCTCGTCGTGGCGCACAAACTTGACCTTCTTGACGAACTGCGTCTGCACCATCGTGATATACTTCTGAATGCAGTCTCCGCTTTCCGACTTTATGCGTAAACAGAACCCCTTCATACATCCACTCGCCGCATCCACGATCAACAGCAGGTATTTGCTGCCGCCCAGTGAATCTTGCTCCATGGAGCCACAGATGTCGAAGTGCAGCAACTCGAACGTGTCGTAACTTCGCTTGTCACGATTGCTTGGGAATGGGTTTTGGACCATTTTCCCTTGCTGACATCCTCGACATGTACCTGATCCACTTGACTTGAGAGGCACTTCCACATCTTTAATCATGTTGTTGGAGACCATCTTGCGAAGCACGTCGACTGTAGCATGACACATACATGCATGCAAGTCAGCACCATTTTTTACTTGTCGCTGTATATGCGGATTGATGTGCCGTACAAAGCCAGCAAAGTCCATCAACGATGTAGTTGATCTACTTTAGCTACGCTACTTATACACTATGTGCATAGGAAGACAAGCTCAGAGAGCGTCTATGTCTTAGGGTGCTAAAACCTACAAGGCTAGCTCGCAAGCTTGTGCCTATCGGTTGTTACATCCGGGTCTCAAAGAGACTAGTATCAAATATACTACTTCCTGTCTCACAAGGAAGAGAACGCTCAATCAGTGATGCTTATAGAGCAGGTTTGAAACTGATTTATATTTATGTTTATCTTCTACCACTAAATATAGAAGCACCACTCTATACTTAGTGCTAGTCACTATTTACTGGCTCTATAGCCTATTATTATGTAAACATGTATAGTCACTATACTTAAATAAGTATAGTGACCACGTGGCTCTTGCCACGATGCGACCCTTCGTACTTCAGGCACGGTCACATCGGGCCTACTCTTGTACCCAAGGTACAGCCAAACGACATTGGTGTGGCAGGTTTGTATGTACAATGTTGAATTAAAATAACAGGGCACTGACAAAAGGGTTTTTGACATTTTGTGGGGGGGGTATGTAACAAGGTTTTGTGCCCCACCCGCGCCTCTTTTTTTTTTTTCTCGGCGGGGGGTGTGTGGTTGTTTTTTTTTTCCTGCCTGCTGGTTCCTCTCGGGTGTGCTGTCCTTTTTTTTTTTGTGTTTTTTTTTTTTTTTTCTCTCCTCCCCCCCCCCCCCCCCCCCCCCCCCACACATCTTCGTGTATATCCATTGACCCCCCCTCCACCAATCCGTACGACCCTACATACCCACGATTTCTCGGACTTCATTGGGAATCATCGATTTTATTCTCTTCCATATAGCTTGCCTCGCAATAAGTGCTTGCACTTGCGAACAAAGCTTTAGTGTGCTATCACTTGCTCCTTGAGCACCTGTGCTTTGCACACACGCTTCCTAAGCATCCTAGTGTTACCGACCACTCGCTCTTTGAGCATACAGGGCATTGCACTCACGCTAAAGCATTATTGTGTTACGACACTTGCGATGTAAGCGCTAAGTACCAAGCCCACTTGGTGAAGAAAGTCAGCACCGTTTTGACTTGTCGCTGTATTTGCCGATGGACGTACCGTAAAAGCCAGTAAAGTCCATCCATAAGATCTGCAGCCGCCACCACTTGATTCGAGTCCTTGTGAGCAACATACATCCTGGTACCATCAAACACTACTTGAAACTTGTCATGCTTGTTGATCTGGGGCACCGAGAGCAGATTCTTGCTCATGCTGGGCACATGCAAAGCGTTCTTGATCTAAAGATCACGCTCTTCACTATTTGGCAGAACCGCCTTCTTAATGATGGTTCCAACACCCTTGACGGCAGCCTTGTTACCATCAGCAACGAAAAATTTCGCCACCATGCGAACGACCAAGCTGGAAAATTTAGCTCTGTCATGACAGATATGGTGTGTCGCACCACTGTCAATTGCCCACACCCTGACACATCCTTGTTTGTCAAAATTACACATACCAAAGAAACTACAAATGCCACTCGATCGTGGCTGTTGCCTTCATCATATTGTCCCCACTGGACATCATTAGCCCCGCATCCACGATCGTTGCCGCCGCGTCGGGCTTCTCGACCTTATTCTTCTGCTTCGTCCAACAGCGATCCACTGTGTGCCCTACCTTGCCACAAATATGTGCATTGGTAAGGCTCACGCTCGGTGCTGAATGCCTTGTTTGCATCTTCAGCTTTCACCGTAGTCGCTGTTGTCGTCACCTTCTCCCCTTGACCCTTGGCGTGCTCATTTGTCAGCACCTTCACCACATCTTAGGTACGAAGTTCTGCATTGCTCATCTCCAAGTTCAGAACCACGTTCTCAAAACTCTTCGGGAGACTGAGCAACAAGCAGATCGCGATGTCTTCGCCTTCCCCATCTTGGCGCCGATGTTCAACACATCATTGCAGTGATGCAAGACGTTACCATCTTCAGCCATCTTCATGCTGAACAGCTGACGCTTGAGGTAAATCCGTCCGGCCTTCTGCGATCCACCGTACAACGACTTAAGACGTGACCACGCAACCCACGCTTCCTCACAGTCGTCGACCACGTGGTGATAATCCGCACCCATGTGAAGCAACATCAAACCACACGCGATGTTGCTCGTCTTGACGTAGTCTTCCTGCGCCTGTGGCTCCACAAACGCTGGAGTGTTCTCCCGGTTGACCACATGCCACACCAACTTGGTGAGAAGCACACCACGCATGTATCGACTCCAAATTGCATAGTTTTCCCCATCGGATTTATCGATGGAGACGTTGGAGGATGCGTGGGCGGCAAAAGACATGTACTTGGGCTCATACCCTGTTGCAGGGAGAGCACGGAGCGGAGAGAGAGAGGGAGCGGAGAGAGAGAGGGAGCGGAGAGACCGAAGAGAGAGCGGAGCGAAAGACACTTGCTCTGAAGTTGGAAGATTCGAAAGTGATTGATTTAGTTGGATGTTATTCTAACTACAGCCTGATTTATATTTAGTCCACTATAAATCAGGCGACTGTTCACACCCTGATTTCTATGTAGTTCACATATAAATCATGTAGATCTTCCTATCAACCTACTCGTCTAGTCACCATCACTCTGCACTCCATGGCATAATCCTTACCATAATCGTGAACCGCATTGGGCCGGTTCGGGGTTACCCTGGCCACGGTCAAAGGCCGTCGGTATACCGGTTACCTCCAATACCCCCCTCCCTCAATGCGAACACGTGCGGATGCCAAGCCCCTCTGTCAGCTCCTTGTGACGCGGTCCGTGAAGTCCCTTGGTCATGATGTCTGCTAACATCACCGTAGTCTCACACTAGTCTACTTGAGCTCGACTTCGCCGCACTTGACCTCATCACGGATGAAGTATCATCACAGATGTGATGGTACTTGATATCGATGAGCTTGGTATGGCCATGGTTGACAGGATTCTTCGTCATCTTGATGCACGATTGATTGTCTTCATAGATCATCAGCTCGGGTCCGTCCTTGTTGGCAGCTGTCATGATCTCACACGGCAAACGATGAATCCACTTGCCTTCTTGGACTGCCAAACTGAGATCAATGTATTCTGCTTCACTCTTCGACAGCG